ACCGGGGATTCGAAACTATGCTAGTTGACTCAATGACAGGCCTTATGATACAGCGCGCACGTGCTAACCATTCGGCCATCCAACCAGAGGTCGCAGTGGATCAATTTCGAGTTGCGTAAAAATGCGCAGACATTCCAAAATTTTGCATTTTTGCCCCTCTACATCTGCGTTACTTATAGCCTCTCAAAATACATAATATAGAAGCATGTAAAGTCGTTTTGTGAACAACCCTATTTTAAGCGTCCTTATTTCATTGATAGGCCTACGGTATTTAGTCTAATGACGACTGGAGGTTAACGGCATGTCTATGGTTGACGGCACAGTCATTTGAATCTTTCACTTCGACAGGTCATAAAGAGAAAACTATCGCTATGAAAGTCAACATTTGATTGGCCGAATGTAAACAGTATCTCGTGTTCTAGCCAATCCCAAGTATGAAATGCGCTTTATTGCTTCCAATAGGATAGCTACGTAGGCTTACTGCCATGAACTTATGAATGAAATAAGAGGAAATATAAAAAAAACTACGGAGACTACGTGTAGTAGGTGTGTGTAATTACCGGGTGAAGCACATAAATTGTACAAACTACAACATAGAATAATCTAATTATTGTCACGTAGGGGAAATTTTCTGCATGTAAATTACGCAGCATCCCTCAATATTTGCGTTTATTTTTTAAAAAATGTGTGAAATACGCAGATTTTTGCGTGACTGCGACCTCTGCATCCATCAAACTTAGTCAAGGTAATGATATAAATATAATGAAACTATATTCAGAGTTTCATTGCTCTCACCTTATTATAACCAAAGTTATCGTGTCCCAATTATCGTGCCCCAAAGCATCAATCAGATTGCTTATCTCTGCTTACTGTAAGCAGACAATGTTCATCATCGAACTCCATCAAGGCATTCATTCACCTAATGAAGGCCTACACCAAGTTTGAACATTCTAACTCAATTAGAAGGAGACTTATTGTGTTCCAAAGTCTCGACCAATCAAATTGCCTATCGCTCTGCCTACCCTGAGCAGAAAATGCTCATTATCGAACTTAGTCAAGGTATAGATGTAATGAAACGATACACCAAGTTTCATCACTCTCACTTTATTAGAACTAAAGTTATCGTGCCCAAAGCATCAACCAATCAAATTCCTTATATCTGTGGTTACCCTAAGCAGAAAATGCTCGTCTTCGAACTCCATCAAGGCATCGACCTAATAAACATCTACACCAAGTTTGAACATTCTAGCCCATTTAGAAAGAGAGTTATTGTGTCCCAAAAAGTGTGACATTGACAGACCGACGAACCCCTTTTAAAGGAACCAAATCGCTAATATTTTGGATCTAGAAATTGACACAAATGGGTCGCAACGTATATAATAATGTAATGTGAATATATATAAACTGATTTACATTCAATTGTTTCTGTTTTTTACTGCAATTTCTAATCAGTTATGTTCGGCGAAATACGCCAGAAGTCTCAATCCAATGGCAATCTCTAGCGTCTGGTTATTCCACTTTATACCAATAGTATTTATTGCGCATGCTCTCCAGATAAGAATATGACGTCACCGTTTGACATTACTTGTAGAACATATCTAGCCTCTTTCTACGAGTCCCTTGTTAAAAATGGTGCTGAAATACACCATGGTACACAATTCGTGTACCAACGGTAAAATGTTTATTTTGTCCTAATTATGAAGCCCATCTTTTCCCCAAAAGATCACAACATCAATGTTGATTTAAATTGACAAATAATTCGTGTTTTCAATATCGATGATTTTGGATTATATTGAGTTAGAGACTTAGCTACTTTAAGTCCCCTGCTTTCTTCGAAAGGCGGGGGGGCAATAAAAATTGTTTGTATAATGTAGTCTGTTTTAACTCCATGCAAAAGACTGGATGGTATTTATAAATTAATAACAGTATTGCCATTTAAAGATACATTAGTTAAAAGAGTTTAATAGAGAGTTGGCCATTCTTGATATAATAATTCAAAAATAGATGATAACAAGCGGTTGCCATGCAAGATACGCCCACATTTTGCAAGAGATGGACAGACAACAAGCTCAAAAAAAGAAGTGATTTTTTCGTACAATCAAGGGCCATAATTCAGGAAGTTATGATCCAATATGTGCGAATATCGAAAGGAAACAAGATCTTTGGGTTATAAATATGTATTCCAAGTTTCAACAAAATCGGATAAAAATTGTGACCTCTATAGGGTCCACAACCTTGATATACCATATTCTTATGCTATTTGAGAACGAACGGCAGCCATTTTGTCTGTCAATTTTGGGCCGATTTTCACAAAATTCGAACTCAGTCGACCCTAGGGTGTAACGGTGATATAATAATACATTTTTTTTATATCGGATAAAAATTATGACCTCTATAGGGTCCACAAGCTAAAAACGCGATTTTTCATACAATCAGGGGCCATAATTCAGGAAGTTACGGGGCCGATATGCGCGAATATCGAAAGGATCCAAGATCTTTGGGTTATAAACTTACATTTCAAGTTTCAACAAAATCGGATAAAAATTGTGACCTGTTTAGGGTCCACAACCTTGATATACCATATTGTTACGCTATTTGAGAACGAACGGCGGCCATTTTGTCTGTCAATTTTGGGCCGATTTTCACGAAATTCGAACTCAGTCGTCCTTAGGGTGTAACGGTGATATAATAATACGTTTTTTTTAAATCGGATAAAAATTATGACTTCTATAGGGTCCACAAGCTAAAAACGCGATTTTTCGTACAAACAGGGGCCATAATTCAGGAAGTTACAGTCCGATATGCGCGAATATCGAAAGGAACTGAGATCTTTGGGTTATAAACTTACATTTCAAGTTTCAACAAAATCGGATAAAAATTGTGACCTCTATAGGGTCCACAAGCTAAAAACGTGATTTTTCGTACAAACAGGGGCCATAATCCATGAAGTTTCGATCCGATACATGCCAATATCGAAAGCAGCCGAGATTTTTTTGGGATATAGCTATATTTTAAGTTTCGTCAAAATCGGACAAGAATTGTGACCTGTAGAGAGTCCACAAACAAATTGTGGACGGACGGACAGGGGCGACGACAATATACGTCCACATGAAAATGTGGGCGTATAAAAAAAGGAAAATATTGAAAATTTCATTCAAATTACTTCATTCTCAGCCAAGTTATCATTGTTTGTAGTTTTGACAAGATGTGTGCACAGTGGTGACCAGGGCACTGGTATAATCAGGACTTAGCCTCGATTTCCCATTTTTAAATTAAATTTTTAAATGGCAAACCATTTTAATAGTAAGTGCATCTAGTTAAAATCTTGAGTATCTGATGCCATCGAGAGTCGATTATGGTCTTGTTTTGTTAATAAATGTCTAATTAATAGTTTATATAACATTTCAGGCCTAAAGAAAGACCTGCAATAGGCAGATTTAGCTCTTGCATGGTGTACGTTTAAATAATATCTTTTAAAAATATACACATTGTAAACCAACAGTCCACGGAAATATGATTGCATCATCATTGACCTAAATAACAGATAGAAACAAAAAGGAGTTGTCTCCCTTTACCTTTCAACCTAATATATTTATCATTCTTCCTATTAAATAAGCTTATATTTGTAAAGACACAATTTTTCTACTGATAAGAATCTTAGTAGAAAAGGTCTTACATTTGAGTATGATAAAACTACCAAGAATATTAGTTATTACTTTTATGCGTACAGTATCATCCCATGTTCTGCCCCTGTTGGCATATTCTTACAATCAATTTTTATCTGAACTTAGGCCTACTAATCTAAACAGTCCTTGTATGGGTTTTTTTTTTCATTAAAGTATTGAATAAAACCCTATTTTATATCCTAGCAAGGAAAAAGATTTCAGGTTAACTTTAGAGTTGCCACAGTTGCAAAAGTCACATTAATTTTTGTAAGGTAAAAGCTTACCAAGTACTAGTAGGTAGAATGTAAAAAATATATGTAACAGTGCTAGTGAAACATAAATTGTATACTAAATATGGCAATTAAAATTTTCGTGATAGTGGCCTATAAAAAAAAATGATTTGAGATCAGATAGACATAAATTATAAAAAGTAAAATCATTCTATTTCTAAACAATTATATGTCTTTTCTTCAGTTTCAGTGTTGCGCTTTATTTCTTATCTCAATTATTTGTTAGTTGTGACACTGGCATCGTTTTTGGGGGCCTAGCTAGTTTTCTTACATTTATTTAGCTCTAGTTTTATCTTGAGTCAAACATAATTACTTCTGGAGTGCCGTCTGTCAACTCAAATGCTAAAAATTATTTAAAAAAACATTTTGCAGCAATTCACTCAGTCAGCAAGCCTGACAACAAACGAATTCTTTAATTCACATCTCAGAGACAGAATACTGGAGGATTAGGCAGTCAAAAGAGAAAATCTAATGTCAGAAAATAAACTAAACTAGGTAGAGTCAGTACCTAGTAAGTAGAGACTAAAGTCTGTCAATAATCTAATAATGTTTAAATCATTTTCATTAATGGCCCCCTTAGTCTCTAATAACTATGTCCATATAACAGACTGACCTTTGCTAATTTATTACTTAATTTACAAGATACACGAGGCTTTGTTTACATTCCTGAAAACGGATTATGTGTCTAAATATGGAAATCTCGGTTTGCGACGGGCGCCATTTTGCGAGTCTGAAAACAATCACGTGGATACGCGCAGTTTTTCATAAACAACATCGACTAAATAAATATATAAAATTTGACCTTTCGTACTCATAAATGAACATTGATATTAATAAGATAAAATCCATTCAAATACCATCCTCAGGATTTCATACTTCCACTCTATTTCCAATGTGTTTTGGCGCACGAATTGCGTTGTTTGTAATGTTTCAGTCTGGCTCCATCCATGATACGACGGTGATAGGGGGCCATGTGCTCAGATGAACATGTTTTTATCCAAATTCTAAAATACACAAATTTTATATGTGAGTAAAACCGACATACCAAAAGATCAACTTGTGCTTCGTCCCTTGAAGTGTTGTTTGCGTTCATATTTTCCATTTCACCTCCATGGTGTACAGTTGGATATAAATGACTAGTAGGAGCAGCCATTGTATCGGCTGTTATAATAATAATACACTAGCTCTCAATAGCAGTCGACGTGTTTAGTTCTGTACCGTACGAAACCTAGACTTGATTATCTAGTAGACATTTCTCGCAAATTGATACTGGTAAATCTAGTCTACATGGCTCAAATAATTATGTACACACAGAAAATCATGTTTCGGTTACAAAATGCCACCAGGGACTAGCCATCTTCATCTTCATTTTTATACGCCCACATTGAAATGTGGACGTATATTGCCGTCGCCCCCGTCCGTCCGTCCGTCTGTCGGTCCGTCGGGCGTCCACAATTTCTTGTGAAGGCTCTAACGCCAAAAGTTATGATCCGATTGTTTAAAATCGATATGTTGTTCACATTGTTGAGATGAAGAAGCCTATTTAATTTCAATAATTTCCGTGTATTACGTCTAGGGCATGGCCCTTATATCACCTTTTTGAACCTTGTGAACGCTGGAACGCCAAAAGTTATCATCGGATCTTTGTGAAATTTATATGCATTATTTAAATTAGTGAAACGAAGAAGCCTATTGAATTTCAGCAATTTCCGTTTATTATATCTACAGTTATGGCCCTTGTTTCACTTTATTGGACCTCGTGAATGCTCTAACGCCAAAAGTTATCATCCGATCTTTGTGAAATTTATATGCATTATTTAAATTAGTGAAACGAAGAATCCTATTGAATGTCAGTAATTTCCGTTTATTACGTCTGGAGTTATGACCCTTGTTTAACTTTATTGAACCTTGTTGACGCTCGAACGTCAAAAGTTATCATTCGATCTTTCTGAAATTTAGATGCATTATTTAAATTAGTGAAACGAAGAAGCCTATTGAATTTCAGCAATTTCCGTTTATTACGTCTAGAGTTATGGCCCTTGTTTCACTTTATTGAACCTTGTGAACGCTCTAACGTCAAACAAAAGTTATCACTCGATCTTTCTGAAATTTATATGCATTATTTAAAATAGTGGAACCACGAAGCCTATTGAATTTCAACAATTTACAATAATTACTTCTAGAGTTATGGCCCTTGTTTCCTTTTGTTCAACCTTGTTAATGCTCGATTGATGAAAGTTATCATCCAATATGTATGAAATTTATATGCATCATTAAAATTTGTGAAACAGAGGTCTATTGAATTTCAGCAATTTCTAGAGTTATGGCCCTTGTTTTACTTTGTGAACCCTGTGAATGTTTGAATGACAAAAGTGATCATCCTATCTGTATGAAATATATGTGCATTATTTAAATTAGTAAAACAAAAAAGCCTGTCAAATTTCAACAATTTCTGTAAACCACTTCCAAAGTTGAGGCCCTTGTTCCAGTTTGTAAAACCTTGTGAACCCTCTAACGACAAAAATTATAATCTGATCTGTATGAAACTGTGTTGTAAAGGCCCCCAATTGTCGACCGATCTTCAACATTGTCAATTTAAATCAACATTGATGCTGTGATCTTACCCGAAAAAGATGGGCTTATTTAAGACAAAATAAACATTTTACCATAGGTACACAAATCGTGTACCATAATGCGTTTCAGCCCCAGTTCTAGCAAGAGACTCGAGGAACGAGGCTAGACATATTGCACCAAACCAAACGGCGTATGTAGACTGGAATAACCAGGCGCTAGAAATTTGCATTCGATTGGCACTGCTGGCATATTTCGCGGAAAAAACTGATTTGAAATTAGAGTAAAAACGGAAACCATTGAATGTATATCAGTTTATATACATTCATATTACAGTATTATATGAGTTCCGACCCACTTGTGTCATATTCTAGGTCCCAAATGTTAGCGATTTAGCTCCTTTAAGGCATCGCTCAACAGCGGCCTCGCTTCGTACACTTTATCATTTAGCCTCGATCCGGGAGTATGACGTCAACGTAACGGTTAATATGCGCTCATGACGCCATTTAAAATTAAATCAGTCAACGAAATCCCGTTTAAATCCAAGCTGAATCCAAGCCATCCGTGGGTCTACAGAGTTGATTTTGTGCTTGTTGTGTAAATAAAGATCTAATTTATAATTTCTATGACATCTGAAGCCTAAATAAAGACTTGCAATAATCAGATTTAGCTCTTGCATAATATATGTTTAAGTAGGCCTAGATGCCCGATCCATTTTTTCACCTCTTAAGATCCCCCCCCTCCCCCATACCCTCATCAGAGACGAGTTAACTCAACTTCCGAGTACAACATTAATTTTTTCGCTAAAATTTTCACTATTAGTCACGGGTTAGTACGGGTTTTATATAGGCTTAGCTCGGCTCTCGGAGAAGAGAGCGGATTCGGTTGATGACCCTAAAAGCTCCTGACGTCCATTCTGTTTCACCTAATATTATAAATACAATCCGCAGGATTCGTCATACGAGAGGTGATTGATAAGTAGTGAGTCTAACACAGAAAGAATCAAGAAATTCAAATCAAATGCATTTATTTTTCAACATAGTCCTCCTTCAATGTAATACACTTCTGCCATCGGTGTTGCAGAGCCTTTATTCCAGTTCTGTAGAAGTCTTTGTTTTGGGTGTATAGAAAATCATCCACAGCGGCAATAACGTCATCGTAAGACGGGAAATGCCTACCGGAAAGACATTACTTCAGAGCAGGAAACAGATCGAAGTCTGAGGGAGCTAAATCAGGAGAGTAGGGTGGATGCTGAAGAAGTTGAAAACCAGTCATGGATTGCTGACATGGCAACAGCTGATTTGTGCACTGGCGCATTGTCCTCGTCTTTTGGTCTTAATTTCTTGCCTCAGCTGCCTTATAAGTGCTGCATAGTATCTACCGTTAATTGTTTGACCCTTTTGGAGGTAATCCACCATGAGAACACCCTCAGAATCCCAGAATACTGAGGCCATCACCTTTCCTGCCGATGAAACAGTCTTTGCCTTCTTTGGGGTCGGCGACGTCACATGTTTCCACTATTTTGACTGCTCTTTTGTTTCTGGCTGAAAGTGGTGGACCCAAGTTTCATCCATAGTAACAATTTGTTTTAGGAAGCGGTCAGGATCTGTTTCAAATAAGGCTAGATTCTCTTCTGACATGAACGCTTTAGATCAGGCGTCAAAAGCTTTGGCACCCATCGTGCTGAAACCTTTGTCATTTCCAAAGTTTCAGTGATAATAGAATGTTCTAAAAAGTAGTTGTGTTGGATGAAGACGTCTTTAAGGTGTTGTACTTCCAGGTTGTGGGATTCGGGGTCACAAATTCTTTTAGTAAAGGTGGTGATAATGCCTGCTTTTTTATGCATTTGGGTTATTAGATTTGTTGTAGATATATTGGTCAATGTGTGTTGGTTTTATGTACACTGAGGTGGTGACATTGGAGTTTTCTCTTTTTACCATTACATTAAGAAATGGGAGGCTGCTGCTGGTTTCATCTCCACTGTGAACTTCATTCTTGGATGTTGGTTGTTTAAATGATTCAGGGAGGACGACAGTATTATCTTCTTTTTGTAACATGACGAAGGTGTTATCCATCTTTCTGAACCAGAAAACAGGTTGAAAAGGAGCGGTTCGAGTACCTTCTTCTGGTGACATCAAGTAAATTTTGAAAATCAGCGGGGTTAAGGACTTCCCATCGGTAAACAATGGATCTGTCCATAATAGTTTTTCGCCTTGTGAAATATGTGGATTCCAGGCATTGCTTGATCAACGGAATACTGGTATGAACTTGTAGTGGTGTATCCAGTGGTGTAGAAAGTTGTCGAATACGGGTTTCAAGAACTCTGAAATCAAGGCTTCTTCTCTTGGCACATTAGTGAGTAGGTCGACAACACCGTACGGGGGCAATTCACTGGAGTCCTTAATGAAAATATCACTTCGTCTGGAATATCTAGGAATATCATGAGTATGACGAATCCTACGGATTGTATTTATAATATTAGGTGAAACAGAATGGACGTCAGGAGCTTTTAGGATCATCAACCGAATCCGCTCTCTTCTCCGAGAGCCGAGCTATATAAAACCCGTACTAACCCGTGGACTAATAGTGAAACGTTTAACGAATTTTTTTTTGTTGTACACGGAAGTTGTGTTAACTTATGATGGGGGTAAAGGGGACGTTCTTAAGGGGTGAAGAATGGATCGGGCATCTACTTTAGCAGAGTTTTTAAATGTAATCTGAGGTAATTTTAAATAGGCAGGAAGATTGATATTTGTAGGCTGAAGTTGACCTAAATCGTCCGTTTTAGCCATTTTACCCTTGCCCCGCCCGTCGTTTTCTCGCCCTTATCCGAGATAGAAGGGGATTTTGCGTTCTTAAGTTAGTGCTATGTTCTAGTGTACCAATAGTGAAATTATTAACGAAAAAAAATTAATGTTGTACGCGGAATTCGAATTAACTCATCTCTAAGGGTGGTGGTGGTGGGGGGGGGGGGTATAAAGAGGGTGTTCTTATGGGATGAAGGAAGGGTCGTGGGTCTTCTTAAGCAGTGTTTTTGATGACATCCGAGGTTGGTCGACGTATGCACGAAAGTTGATCGTTGCACTCAAAAGTCGAATTAAATCGTCACTTTGGTCATTTCACCCATGGGTCCCCCGTTTTGTCGTTCTTATCCGGGATAGAAGGGGATTTTGCGTTCTTAAGTTAGTGTTATGTACTAGCGGATCAATAGTGAAACTTTTAACGAAAAAATTAATGTTGTACGCGAAAGTCGAATTAACCCCTCTCTCAGGGGGGTAAAGGGGGTGTTCTTAAGGGAGTTAGGAAGGATCGGGGGTCTTCTTAAGCAGTGTTTTTGATGAGATCTGATTTTGGTCGACGTATGCACGAAAGTTGATCGTTGTACGCAAAAGTCAAATTAAATCGTCATTTTGTTTATTTCACCCATAGGCCCCCCTTTTTGTCGTTCTTATCCGGAATGGAAGGGGATTTCGCGTTCTTAAGTTAGTGTTATGTTCTAGCGGATCAATAGTGAAACTTTTAACGAAAAAATTAATGTTGTACGCAAAAGTCGAATTAACCCCTCTCTCAGGGGGGTAAAGAGGTGTTCTTAACCCTTTCAATGCTAGACGTAAATCCACTGCCTGTGCTAGACCCTTTTTTGAGG